ACACATTATCTGAGAGATTAGGTTGTAAATCAATTTCAGCATTTCGCTCTAAACTCACAGTAGCTGAAATATCCAGTAAATTCAGTCTGAAATATCAGCGCAGACTCTCTGAGGAACCGATCTGAATCTTAATCTTGTGTCTTTTTGAGCGGGAGTCACATAATGAAAAATACATCAGCTGCAAACGGCGTTAAATAGCAAATCAATCAGTGTTTGCAGCTGTAAGTAAATATAAAAACAGGCCTTGTGGCTGAGAATGAATCATCTGAGCTGTTCTTTTACTTCCTTCTATTTCCATTTCATATAATCTGCTATTTAACCTCGACATAGAGGCTCTTAAGATGGGATATAAATATTTAAGGTGTTTTTCTCATTTAGGATTGTAGCAATGCGGTGTTGTTGTTGTTTACTAAAACTACAACTGAAATGATCAAAAATCGTTTGCATTAATTGAAATAAAGAAACACTGAAAAAAATATAAATATTAGATGAAAACTCCAATTTAAAAAACTTGAATGCAAATAAAATTAAAAAAATGGACACTTTTAATTTGACACAAAAAATACTAAAACCAAAACAAATATAAATGAAAGCTAAATAGAAATATTTTAAAATGACAATAAAAGCTATTTCTAAATATTAATAAATACTATAATAGTATATAAATAATACTAAACTAACACATGTATTCATGCGATTTGAACAATGTTGAAATAAAGCTGAAATAAAACATAAATATTGGTTATAAAATCTCAGCTTTAATGTAAATTAGAAACTTAAATGTAAATTAGAAATGTTTCCTTGGCAACTAACTGAAATTATAAAGGTAAAAAAAAAGACTGAAGTGAAACTGAAATAAATGAGTGAAAGCTAAATAGAAATATAAAAGGGTAATAAAAATGACAAAAAGCACACGACAAAATTAGTCAAACTTAAACTAAAATTAAAATGAAAATATAAAAATAAAGGCTAATTCTAAATATGAATAAATACTAGAATAGTATATAAATGATGCAAAAATAACACTGATATTCATGCAATTTGAATAATCTTGAAATAAAGCTGAAATAAAATATAAATATTGAATTCAAAACCTCTACTTAAAAAACCTATGTGTAAATTAGAAATATTGCCTTGGCAACTAACAGAAATATAACAAAATTGAAGTTGAAAAGCTAAAATTACTAAAACTGAAAGAAATATAATTTAAAGCGAAATTGAAAAAAATAAAATTAAAAAATTACAAAAAGCACATGACAAAATGACATATTCAAATTAAAAATAAAATATAAAAATAAAATCTAATTCTAAATATTAATAAATAGTATAATAGTATATAAATAATACTAAACACTGACATTCACACAATTTAAATGTTACTAAAATTGCTGAAACGAACACTGAAATAAAAAGCTAAATAGAAATATCTTTTAAAAATCTAATAAAAATGACAACACGCAACAAAATTACTAAAACTTAAAATGAAAATATAAAAATAAAGGCTAATTCTGAGTTTTTTACAATCGCTCAGACACATTTCTCAATGCTAAAGTCACTTTTTCAAAATTCTTCACACAGTTCTAACCATCTTTCAACTCGACACAGCAGTTCATTTCACATCCAAAATGCACTAAAACTACCAAAACATTTCACTAATGTCTCAAATCAAGTCATTCTTCCATAAGGTTTTCACCTAACAAACAAACACACTATCACTCATAACACAAAAGCCTAAAAAACACTAACAGGTAGCATTATGCAATGTTTTCTTTTGTGAAATTTCTTTGCAAAACAAGAATGATACTCTCTACTGTTTATAATTCCCTGCAGTATATGTTGCATGCTCCATGTTTACATTACAGTACAAAATTATTCCTAAGTTTTCCCCTTTTGTATGGATGGTAATGAAAGTGAAAGACGAACACTTGTGAAGATGTTCAGTTACATGCAACTGCTGCGATAGTATTTACATTCAGAGTATTTTTCTATGTATTACTGTATATATATTCTATATGGAACACTGCGATCAGAGCGCAGGAACATTCATAACACTGGATGATGCATTTCCACTGTGAGGTCAAAGGTCACTGGACTTCAGTTTGTGACTCACCGTCGGAACGGTTAAAAGAAACCACACAAAAATAGAAAATGATTTGTTCCATGTGTTCAGTTGAGCTTAGGAATTATTTCTGAAGAAGAAAGAACTTTTCTGGCTTTTACAGTCCAGATAACTGCACTCATCTCTCTCGGTTTCATGTGCATCATTACTTTTAAAGGGGACATCGCATGCCCATTTTTCACAAGTTGGTATGATTCTTTAGGGTCTTCATGAAATGTCTGTAACATACTTTGGTTCAAATTCCTCATTGGTCGTGTAAAACAACACCCTTTTTACCTTGTCAAAAGCAGCTCTGTTCACAGTGACTCGTTTCGGTGCATGTCTCTTTAAATGCTAATGAGCTCTGCTCACCCCGCCCCTCTCTTCCGGGGGGCGTGTCGAGACAAACCTCGTGAATATATCCGTATACGGCTCGGAGGTGGTCTTATTCAAATAGCTTGCTATCTACGTAGATAGTGGCAGCAATCTGAAACTGCTCGCTGGATGACGCAGTTTCTCAGACAGCCTGTAACAAACTGGCTGCGTGTTTTCTTTTCTGCTCTTCCGAGCTGGCAGACACGGCAGAAACCTAACTAAATGTAAAAAAAAAAAAAGCTAACAAAAAGTGAAAATTTCATCCGATTTCCCCTTTAAAGGCCACCAGAATAGCCACACCCCCTCATTGCCATATTGGGATGAAGAAATACATAAATATGGAAAAGACTAAAGGAATAAATAAATACATACAAAAAATACATTTCATATCAAGGTTTGGAATAATTAAGATTTTGTAATGTAAATGAATGAAGTCTCTTCTGCTCACCAGGGCTGCATTTATATGATTAAAAAATACAGTAAAAACAGTGAAATATTACAATTTAAAATAATGGTTTTCTGTTTAAACATATTTCAAAATGTAGTTAATTCATTCATTAATTTCTTTTAAATGATACCCCAAAATGTATAATGGTAGGGTCCACAAAAATATTGGGCAGCACAACTGTTTTCAACATTGATAATAATCAGAAATGTTTCTTGAGCAGCATATTAGAATGATAACCCTGGTTAAAAATTGCGTTCCGGGCCTCCTCTCCCTCGTCAGGCCCTTGGAATCGTCTTTATTTTATTTTATTTTAGTTTATTTTATTTTATTATTTAATTTTAATTTTAAAAATAAATAAATAAACAAATAAATAAATAGAACATGTAAATGTTGGCATTGTATTTTTTAAGTCTACTATAAAATAATTGTATTTTTATTAATGCTTATTTTTTATTTTTAAATATAATAGTATTATCACACTTTATTTATTTTGTTAAAAAAATAAACTAACTAAATAAAGAGCAATAATACTATTATTACTATTATTAATTATTAATTAAATTTTTTTATGGTTATATTTAATCGGTCGTACTATGTGCAGAGTGAGCACCAAACCAAATCTGCAAGTGCTCTCATGTGCACCGCTGCCCATAGCCAAGATTTTTATCATTTTATGTCATGCTGGTCAAGGTTTCTTACACCACAGATAGTCATAATTTCGTTTTTATGATAATTTTTCAACCTTTCTCTGACCCTTCATAATTAAACAGGCTGTTTGTGCAGCTGAGAACCTTCATTTAATTATTATGATTGGATAATCTATTTCCAAAATGAGTAACAGCACTTAGTTGGGGATTTTTCATCAGATGAATTTGAGATGTTTTAGATGCAAAAAAAATGTTTCTCTTAATATTTTTTGTCTAAAATATCTAACAATTCTTAAATTACTTGAGAAGCAAAATTACCTGAGATATTAAGTCTAGTTTTCTGAAAACTATTTTTTACTAAACTAAAGATTTTTGTGCTTAAAACAAGAACAAATATCTGCCTGTCAGAATAATAAAATTAATTCAAAGAGAAAACAAGATCATTTTTCTGACCTCATTGGCAGATAAATTTTTTTCTCGTTTTAACCATAAACTCACTTCATTTTGATCAGTTCTATATATATATATATATATGTGTGTGTGTGTGTGTGTGTGTGACC